GATGGCAGGAGGGAGGGGTTACTATATTTGGGTGAAAATGGCCGCTTCCAGACTCAGTGATCGCGACAAAATCATAATTTTTTACTGATTAATGCTAAATTCATTAAATCACCGCAAAAATATTCATTTTAGGTATAAATAATGATAAATCAATAATTTCTTGCTGACCGAACTTTTCCTTTAAGGCTTTTTTTAATCTCTCTTCAGTATTTTTCTGTCTTCATGTAACAAAAAAGGAGTAGTGCTGTGGGCTCCTCACACCCTATTAAACGGATACATCAGCTTAGTAACCAGAGAATAAACTGTAGTTCCTACATCATAATAAATAAATATAAATCATATTTTCCCTTATTATTCCAACACTTACAAATCAGCACAGAAGAAAGAAGCAGATGCACTTTGGATGCACATGCTCCAATGGCAACCTTTAACATTGCATCATTGTTCTCCCCATGAATCTGTACGGATGAAAGAAGGTGAAGTTCCTTAACTTCTTTTCACGATGCTGCGTTTCCACTTACTCGATTGACATCCGGGCCACAGACTCCAAGGAACTGTAGCCGGCCGCTGTGAAGTTGTCTCTGTATCGCTCCATCTTGATGGCTTCCAGCCACTCTCCCACTGAGCGGAAAGCAGCGAAGTCTGGTGTGCTCTGATCTAACAGGGGGCTAATTGGTCTGCAGGATGGGCACAGAGAGAGACGTTTATGTCTAATGTGGAGAGGAAGTGTTTCACTGAAATTACAATCAAGCAAAGAGGCGAGACAAAGCAGCAACCAATGGCATCCAGCAGGGCGGTAAATTGGAAAAAAAGGAGGAGAAAATATGCGTCGTATGGAGGCTTCGATCGGAAAAAAACTCATAAATAGATGATAGATGTGGGCTTCTACTTTAGAAAAATATTTTTATCAATATCTGTGAAATTTAAATAGATCATCTCCCACACAGTCTCCACATAATAAAAGGCTTTTTAACCAGTTATAACCTCTAAGCTCAATTTCACCTCAGCAAAGTATGTTCTGAGTGCAAATAGAATTCATCTGACAAATGTCAGAGTGAAGGCTGGCGCTCCCGCTGCTCTGCAAAGCACCAGGAACTCATTATAGAGATTGATCTAAAAGCCCTGATATTGACCATAAAGCCATATACAGGCTGCTATTCCAATCGATTCTCCAGGAATGATCTTCTATCTTTGAACGAGAGAGGCTAAATCATCCGTGGGACACTTTAGATCATCTATTAATGCAGGAAAATCAAAGCAGAAATTCTTTATTGGCTGAGAGCACTTTTGAAACGAGTCATTTCGGCTTTATTTCCTTACCTGGTACACGTGCCCACAGGGGTTTTTAAGGTGTTAGGGTTACGGATCATTTTATCCAGGATGCCAACAATCTGGTCAAACTTTGGGCGTTCGGCGCGGTCTTTCTGCCAGCAGTCCAGCATTAGCTGGTGCAGGCCTGGGGGGCAGTCCATGGGTGCTGGCAGGCGATAGCCTTCATCTATTGCCTTAATGACCTGAGGGGCAAACAGAGACATCACTGTGAGCATTTTATATCATCTAAGCCAAAAGTTGTAATGGGAGACATCCACTATCACTGTTGAATTTTAAAATATGACTTTAAATCTATTATATCTGGTTTTCTAAGTTGTTTTAGTTTAAAACCTTTCAGTAGCAGCCATTGAAAAGGACCCTTCCCAGTCAAACTCCAGCCGAATGGCAGCCCACTTCCCTTTAACTTCCAGCAAAATCCCCTCAAAATTCCAGCATCTGCAGTGACCCCCTTGCATATTTTTTTTACTCTGACTCCATATTTTCACTGAATTATAGACTATGACCAGGAGATGATGCTTCTCTTTAGATCTTAATGTCCACATATCATGACAGAAAGAATATTTTACTACAAAGATTGATGTTTAAAAAGGAACCGAAGGGGACCAGCCAAAGGCCCATCAAGGAGGGCAAAATTCCTGGGGGCCCCATAAAACTCCTTTAACTGTTCCTTTAATAAGGAACAGTTGTGATTAACACAACTGTTCCTTATTTGAGCACATTAACTGTTTTTGATCAAATACTTTCTCTAAAATGTCATCAGAACGCTGATAATATAAAGTGTGTCTCAGCCCCCCCTTCAGTGTCCACCATATTGGATCAGTCCATTTGCTGCACATGTTCAGAAAGGTCCAAACAGACAGCAGCAAACCATTTGAAAACAAACCATGCAAAGAGCAGTGTTGCTAACTTAGCGCTTTAGTCGCTATATTTAGACACTTTTCAGACCCCTCTAGCACTTTGATTTC